CTTCTGCCAGCATACCTGTTTTGCCTGACTCCTTACCAAAGGTTGTCAGTCTCTGGTTCAGAGGAAAGTCTCAAACTCAATTCTAGTAGATTCAGTCCCTTCCCTGTGGCTAAGTAGCTACAGACTGGCTTAAGGAAACTTGCTTTCCTTTCTTAATCCTGACTCCTTCCTAGCCCCCAGGGGGGCTCTGTGTGTGTGTACGTGTCTGTATGTGTCTGTCTGTGTATGTGTGTGTACATGTCCATTCACACGTATTATAGATGCTTCGTAATGAAAGGATTGCTAGTAAAAATGCCACCTTCTCACGTAAATTACAGAGGGGCAGGGGAGATGGCTTAGTTTATAAAGTTCCTGCCATACAAGCTAGAGGATCCAACCTTAACTCCCTGGCATTCACATGAAAATCCAGGTGTGACAGAATATTCCTGTAATCTCAGCATTAGGGAGGTGAAGACACAGGGATCTTTTGGGGCTCACTGGCCAGCTGACCTAGCTGGGTCACTAAGTTCCCCATTCAGTGGGTGTCCTTGTCTCAAAAAATAAGGGGTTAGTAATCAAGGGAGACACTGCTTGTCCACCTTGCCTTCACGTTTATATGTGCATACATGTATCCACATACCCATCTATGTACATACACAAACACGCATACACAAGCATACAGCGCACACAATACACCTTTATGGTTAGCTTACCAGTCTGACATCTTGGCTCCCTAGGGACATTCCAAAGAGCTGGGTTTCTCCTAAGGCTTACATTTACACACACACACACACACACACACACACACACACACACACCCCATACCAGAGAGAGAGAGAGGATGGGGGATGGAGTGGAGACGGAGAGAGAGAGACAGAGAGAACCACACTGGTACCCACACAGAGAAAGCAGCCAAGATTGCACGGAGCAAAGCGTTTCCAGCCTGCTATACCTTATGACACTAATGGACATGAAAGCGCCAGGATGTCAGCTAAAGTGCATAATAGAGCCGATCGGAATCCGTTGTAGTCACTGCGGCAAAGTGGCACGAGGGAAAGGCGGTGTCTCCCTCAGTGCAGACGGTGTTAGAGACAGAAGAGATCAGCTGCATCTTTACCTTCTCCTGCTCTCCTTCCTACCCACCTCTCCTCTTCCGTCAGTTCCTTCCTTGTGCCCACCCGTTCTTTCATGTTTGCTTGGTCCTGTTACTTTGTGCCTGTGACAACATGGTATGTCATGGCGGGAACATGTTAAACATGTAAAACAAGAGCCTCATTACATCATGGCATCTTGGAAAGCAAAGAGAGAAATAAGAAGGGCCCTGCTTCCATAGATTTCTCAAGGCTGTTCACCCAGTGACCTAGTATCATTCTAGTAACCTCAAACTCCTAGATGTTCTACCACTAGGCCAGGAAACAAGGCTTTAACACAGGGACCCATAGAAGACACTGAAGACCCAAACTATAGCTGGCTATCTGGAAGACCCCCCCCCTGCCTTATTCCTACCCCCTCCTCATCCTCTCCTCCTCCTCCCCCTGTAGTCTCCCTCCTCATTCTCATACTCCTCCTCTTATCATTCCCCTTCTGTTTCATTATGATCTAAGCACAGAGCTCCTAGATTGTGTTCTTACATAGGCCAACGCCAATGCAACCATTGAGGACTGGAGTTCATCTGAGGGAGAAGATAGAAACAGGCTCTGATTTCTAGGCCCAGTGGGTCCGCACTGGGAGGCCTCGGGAGACAGGCTAGCTGTGGTCCTTCCAGCTGGGAAGCTTACCTAGGCAGCCTGTCAGAGAGCCTGGTTTCCATGCTGAAATCTGTTTGCTTGGTCAGTAGCACTGGGAGTTAATATTTCTCTGTGTGTGTTTAGGAATTAATTTCTACTAAACTTAATCACCCCCTCTCCCCTTCCCTCTCACTCACCCCCTTCCTTCTCCATTCCTTTCCCTTCTAATTTTCCACTTGGCTGGGAATTCTCCAGCAGTGAAAGTTCAGACTTAGGGGAGGGCGGAGGTAACTGCTTCATTAGAGGGGATAATCTCATTGGAACCACTGGCTTGAATAATAACCCCTTGCAGGGGCCTGGGGCCTTTCTCCCTAGAGCTGTTAGAACCTCTGATCTAGGGCTGTAAGGGCCCAGTGCACAGGAAGTGGAATGAGAAAGGGAAGAAAGACAGTTCGCCAAGGAAGCCCTTAACCCAGGGGCTGAGGGAGGTGGGTCTCCTTGGGGACTGCTGGTCACTTGCACATCTGTATTTGGGGCAGAGGCCACAATTGAGATAACAGAGACAAATGCCTGAGAACTCGTGCATTTTGTGAGTCTACATAAGCCCCAATTCCCCTACCTGGGAAGTGGATAACGTGGGACCCTGATGCCTCTACTGTCTAGGGGAGAGCCCTATTTTCCCAGGTACTAGAGTCCTTGGTAGGAAGCAATTAAGGGGCTCTTCTGGGACCAGAGATGAGCCCCTTTCACAGTCTCTAACTCTGGCATGAGCTGCTAGAGAAGCACAGCCCTCAAAAGGCTAAGGACTATTATCTTGATGGACCCCATGGGATACCAGAAGCTGTGATCCTTCCCCTGCCATCATCCCATCAAACTGAAGGTCAGTTATCTGTGTTTTTGGACATTTGCAGCCTGTCCACTCCTGTACTATGAAGGACGGTAGACATCTCACAACATCCCTGGTCCTGACCTTAAACTTAACTTTCCACTGAGACAGAGCTCAGTTCTCCAAACACTTTGATAGCCGTTAAGGAAACAAGCTACCACCCATAGCATGCTCTCACTCTCCTGACCTTTCTGGTTCTGAGCCTCCCTCCATCGTCAGCGGGGGAAGCAGCTTTAGTCTCCTCTTCTCCCTTTGATGTGCCAATGAGCCAGTCTGCATCAGCTGCAGTTTAGAGCCCCAGGAACTAGGAAGTGAAGGAAGTGATGGGGTGCCAATCCCAGCTGGCACTTGTTGACACCCCTCTCGAAGCTATACACCGGTCTAACTACTTACAGCATACTCTTTCCTGCAATCGTTAGGAAACTCTAGTTGTCTGATACCATTTTGTTCCCATTTTAGAGAAGAAAAGACCAAGGCACCAAGAGGTTAGGCATTTGGGATTGATGCTTAAAACTGTAAATTACATGTGGTTCCTATACTCCGTACTTTCTAGAACTGTGGCAAGATGCACCCTAGAAATCTGAGTAGCAGCAAACAATGCAGGTTAGACTTGTCCCTACCTAACTAGTTACTTACCTGTGCCTCCTCCCCCAGTCTGGGAGAGAGATAGGGTTCATCTGTTCTATTTAGTAACTTCTGGTGATGTTTGGCCTGGGCAGCTTTACACACACACACACACACACACACACACACACACACACACTTCATAATTTAATCAAAGGTACTCTTTTCAGACCTACTGATTGCTCTTGGAAACAGAAACTTCAAAGTTGGGGAGTCGGTGAATAATTGAAGCTGTACCAGTTCTCTGGGACTGCTGTTAATGGACGTAATAACACTATTAATAGCGATGTCAGCTCAGACACTCTGGAAAAGTCCATAACATTAGCCTAATGGCTGAAGGTAATGGAGTCCTTGCCGAGGAGCTGGCCTGGTAAATTAACTCCCAAGACTCAGAGGCAGACACTCTTGCTGCCAGTGGTTTGCTCGAGCCGCCAAAGAATGCCATGGGGACCCCCAGACTCACTCCTGACCTTTCCCCTCATGACTTGGGGCCCTTGAAGTAATCCCAGGGAGTTCAGGTTTATCCAACAAGGATAGATGATAGTCACGTGCTTGCTGCTGAATCTAGGAGGAATGGTGAAGAGGAAATGTTTAAAGAGCCCTAAGAATGTAAGAGGAGCATTAAGACTGCATGGCACCTGGGTTTAGTCTGCAAGGGGGTGTGTTCCCTTCCTTCTTCATCCAGAAGCTTAGCATGGTAAAGAGCAGAGGCTCTGAGTTTACCTGGGCTGGATATGGACTCACATTAGCTGTGAGATACCTGGACGAAGAAGTGACCCTTTCATCCTTTTCTGTGGTTTCTTGACCTCTGAGATGACTTGGCCAAGGACATTTAAATGGCATAAAATGCAAAGCCCTATCACAGTATGCTAGCACACAGTAACTAGTGGTTATGATTGCATTAAGTAGAGTTGGGTTGACTTTGGTGTCATCCATCCCACTGACTGTAAGGCCCTCCTTCTGCTGCAGTCTCCTGTGTCCCACCTCTTCCTTCCAGGGCAACTTTGGCTGTCACCGTGTGTGCAGTTAACTAGTTAACTAGACACTATCTCTAACTCTGCACTTTGAGGCCATCCTCCATCTTTGGCTAACTGTGTCTTCTTTTGCTCTGATGAGAAGGACAGGCAACAGCTTTCTTCTACAGCTAAGAGTTGGCCTACAAGCCACTCAATACCCTGGTATTTCCCCTCCCTTCCTTTCTTCCCCCACCCCACATCTGTCTGCCTTTCCAGAAGAAAGTTCTCTTCCCATGTCCCTTCCCCCTTTTTGCTCCCTATCCCCTGCTACTGTTCCTTCTGTCACTTTTCCTAGGCCTCTCTCAACCTCCAGACATCGTCAGGAGTCATTTCCCTGTGATTACAAGTACAAAAGAGCTGAACTAATCTGTAGATCTAGATAGAACTGGATAGGTAAAAACGCATGGAAAACCCAGACAGAACTAGATGAACAAAGGCAATAAAATATGTCTCATGTGCTATACACATATATGGGGGAGAAGTGAGGTTTGCTAAAAAATAAAGGGGATGGTGAAGGGTGTCAGAGGCTGTGGACGGACAAAAGTAGACTGGCCAAGATGGTGTGACTCATGTGTGACTCTTCTCTCCTGTGAAGGGGGTGGGCGAACTGCTACCCTTTTCAAAGCTGAGCTTGATAGAAGAAGGAAGTGCATAATAGAAGCTTGGAGAAGGAGGGGCAACTAGCCCTTTAGGTTTAGTAGGGCCCAAGAGCTTCTGGATATGCCCGTCCCTTTCTGGGTCAACTGATCGTCATTGTGTCCTTTCCAGGTGCACCCGGAAGGAACGGTGCGAGCGCTCCAGGGAACCCCGAAGGTTTGCCTCGGAGATGAAGCAGTGTGTCCGGCTGACAGTCCATCCCAACAACATCTCTGTCTCTCAGTACAATGTGCTGGTGAGTGGGGAGGCCAGAAACCAGGGCAGAACTCTCCCCTGGCAGAAAGCACCAAGGCCTCTTGGGAGCAGCTCTAGGTCAGGGTCAGGGATGCTCGTGAAGAAGTGGGAACCCGAGAAAGGTGGAATGGACAGAAACACTGAAGAAAAGGTTCCACTCATAACGACAAGGGATTGACCATACCGAAGGTGATCAGGAAATACAAATAAGGCTATGCTGAGAGTCCATCTCACTCCATTGGCAGTCATTAAGAAAACAAGTAAAAACAAAATGAGGACAAACATGTGAACTGGTATAGGCACTATGGAAATCAAGGCAGAGGCTACTCAAAAAACCAAAAGTAACTCCCTCCCATATGACACAGACATAACACTCAATCCTTGTTATGCAATGCTCAAACACTTATGTTTCCGTAAAAAAGAACAAATCCATGTCATTTGCAGAAAAATGGGTGCAACAAGATCATATTATTAACTGAATTTCAATCTGTCTCAGAAAGACAAGTACCATGTTTTCTCTCATTTGTGGGTGCTAGGTTTTCTACATATGTCATAAAAGTGGAAGCTCTTTTTTAAAAAGAGAGGAAATGGGATTAGCTGGAGAGTACGGGGGGGAGGGGCAGGTAGAGTGGTAGAGCATGGGGTTCTGCTCAAAATACATATTTGTAGGAAAATCATATTTGAGGAAAATAGCATTATGTGACCAAGCAGAATAAACAAAGTAGTATTTTATTATGATCCAAATTATGCCATGGGTATACCTAAATATCTCTTAGCCAATTTGAGATTAATTGGCATGCAAATAAATATAGAATGATAGAATAAGGCCATGTAGCAATGAGTGTTGGGAATGATCCCTTTATCTATGCAGGGGGCCAATGTAGCTACATTGGGAGAATGAGATATGGACTCCCGAGTTCTAGCACTGGGCACACAGCCATTACCAAATAGAAGGTAATTTCCCGTCAGCCAGTCTGGTCCTGTTCAGAATTCCTCTAGCACACAAATCCCCTAAGCATTCCTACTCCCCAGGGTCAAATCCATTCGGATCCTAGTGGCTTTCTTTAGTCTGTGCCTCTGCCTCCCACTGCCTTCTCTACCCTTCTCTTGTAGCAAACTGATCGGTGTTAATAATTCTCCTTTGTCTGTCTATTCCTCCTCCTGACTTTCTCCCTTCCTTCCCCCCTCCTCTCCTCTTTCCCCCCTGCCTGGCTGGGCTATTCACAGCTGGTCCTAGAGACGTACAATGTCCCGGAACTGTCAGCAGGTGTCAACTGTACCTTTGAGGATCTGTCAGAGATGGATGGGCTGGTAATAGGCAATCAGATCCAATGCTACTCCCCTGCAGCCAAGGAGGTGCCCCGCATCATCACAGAAAATGGTGAGCAAGTGGTCCCAGGAGGCAAAGTTGGGTGGCAGACTCTTCATTGTGCCTGGGTAGCAGAACTCGTGACAGATGTGGGGAACGGAGAGAGCCTAGGGGCAGAGTTAAGTCAGAGCGAGAGGGCTGATGGTTGAAAGGAGTAGAGGTGAGAGTTTCCTTTTTTACCCCTGGAAATTGACTGGTACATCCCAGCTTAGCAACCAAACTTCTACCTCATCCTGGTGAGGAAGAGCCACTGAGACGGTAGATAGAGCCAGGCCAGAAAAGCAGTAGTATGGGTAGGTGATGTCATTGTTTTAGCTGGCCTGGGGGAACTGTGGAAGAGGGAAGCTGGGAGCAAGGGTATGACGGGGCAGGTCCAACGGCTCCATAACCCTTTGTATACCATCACTTGAGCGAGTCTGGCTCTAGAGCGCTTTCTCCCCACACACAGCTGCCTGTTGCTCGTAACCAACTCTATTGGGAAGGGTGTGAGTGGACGGCTTGACACTGGTAAGGGACAGGCTGGCCTCGGCAGATTGATTCCATGCTGTCCCTCCCATTTGGGCTTGTCACATTTATTCAGAACCGATTGATTAATGAGGCTCTTGGGGAAGGCAGAGAACAGGGCTGCAAGTGGGGTCCAGGGTCAGGGCTGTGAATTAAACATGGGCTCCAATGTCTCTTTGGCGCCAGCTGAGGAGTCTAATATCTCGTACCCCTATGGAGCCACGTCCCGCAGAGACAATAGTATCAGACCTCGGTCTCTCTGCACAGAGATCATGAGGTGAACTCATATGTGCACACATTTGCACATACATGCAATTCCACCTGTGCCATTGGCAACCGTTTTCCTGAGATACTACATTGTTTTCCTCCTTGGCTACTCATCACTGTTTGTGATTCCAGGAGGCTTTTAAGTACAGCATGTAAGGGTGTGTGTGTGTGTGTGTGTGTGTGTGTGTGTGTGTGTGTGTACACGCACGCATGTCCACAGAGACACATGGAAAGTGACTGGGGGTCTAGTGACATAACAGAGAAGGGGAGACCAAGCACAATTTGTTTTGCTTGTATGAGTGTGGAGGGTGGGGTGGTCATCCTGGAAGTGAACCTTGCTGATTCAGGGACCTATGAAACCTGGCAGTGTCCCAGAGGAGCAGTCTCTCTTTCCCAGAGTGCATTGCCGCTAACGGATGTTTGGCTTGGGTTTTAAATTTCCCCTGGCCCCCGCTGGTGGGCTCTGCCTTATAGGAGACCATCATGTTGTCCAGCTGCAACTCAAGTCGAAGGAGACCGGTGTGACTTTCGCCAGCACCAGTTTTGTCTTCTACAACTGCAGCGTCCACAACTCGTAAGTGCCCTGGCTTTCCTCGCCTTTTCATGGCTAGGGTCAAGGTTCATGCAGAGTTCAGAAGACCCCATTGTGATTTCCAGGACTCATTGTATGGAGGCTTCCAAAGAGGCCTCCTTAATGCTAGAAGACGGGCCTCTCTCTTGTACGGAAGGGAGTAGGAAGAGACAAAAGTGAGCGCCTAGGGTGTGGGCCCTGCAAATCCCTAGCCCATGCGTCTTCCCTGGCATAAATCTTCTAGCCTGAATCCCTTCCCACCGTTCTACTAGGGATGATATAGCTCACCTGAAGGACATCAGTTCACACCTACACAGAGGAAGGACCAGGGAAGGGAGGGCAGCCTTTACATGTATCCAGGAGAGGTCAGGCAGTCTAGCAAGTCAACTGAATGTTCTGCCCTATAAGCTGGGTCAGGACTCATACAGACTGAGTCAGGACTCATAAAGACTGGGTCAGGACTCATAAAGACTGGGTCAGGACTCATACAGACGGGGTCAAAGTGCAAAAGGAAAGCCAAAGACACAGTGTGGCAGAGGCCCCGCTATGGAGACACAGAAATCTGACTCTGACTTTGCTTGACTTTGGCATCTCCCCCTCTAAATAGCAACCACGGACAGGAGATCAGTTAGAGGGTTTAGCCACTCTGTGCACTAGTGTCCTCTATAAAAGGGGACCTAGAGGTACTGGCACCACAATATTTAGTGAGTGGCATGTGTTAGCTGCTTTTCTAATAGCTGTGACTGACACACTCCTTGGTGGAAGTCACCTAAGGGAGAAAAAGTTTGCTCTGGCTCATGATTCACGGCATACAGTGAGTGCATCATGAAGGGGACATCACGGTGGCGGGAAGGGTTTGTCTGCAGCAGAGAGAGCTTGTAGAATGGCTTCCCACATTTTGGCAAATCAGGAGGCAGGTCAGGCCAGAACCAGAAGGGAGCATTATCTTCAAGGCCTGTTTCCAATGACCCTCTTCTGTTACCTATATCACAGTCCTCAAGATTTTACAAATTCTCCCAAACAGTACCACTAACCAGGGACCATGAATTCAAGCAGAGGAGCCTGTTGGGGACATTTCATATTCAAATTGCGACATAACATCCCAGGAGCACTGTCCTATCAGAGCAGTCCTGGGATGGGACACTGCTGTTGTCACCACTGTATAGCAGACCTGGCCCTCCCACAGGATGGCTATAAGGAGTAAAAAGAGCCACTGTAAGGCATCCTTTAGAATGCCATGTGGCTCACTGGTTACGTACTACTCATGATTTTTGCTATGGTTATGTTGATATTTCCTCTGTGAACTGATGAGATTGAACCAGATTGGAGATGTATAAAATTTCTTAATGTAAAACTTGAAATTAGATATGCAAGTCCAGCATGCAAAACAGATGGAAGAAGGGGCTGCTTACTGGGGGAGCTTTGAGTCCAGGAGCCCCTCTGTCTAGGATCCCCATGGCACTCTATATAGTCTCCAAAGGAGCTCCACGGAACCTTTAGAGTTCCATAGAGAGAGTTTGGAAAACACATGGCTTGACAACATGCCCCCTGCCACACACACACACACACACACACACACACACACACACACACAACATTTCTGCTTATTTTAACATGCAGGTTGCATTCCTCTCTTTACAGGGTAGGTATCTAACATGACATTTGCTGGCCTATAATTTGATAAAAAATAATTTAGGGCTTATGTAGGATGTCTGAGACTAGAGCTTATCTTACTCTGGGGACAGACATCAAGGAAAGAAGCATCTATCCTGTTTGGCCAGAGCCGGCTGTATCAACATCGGGATTCTCTTCTCTCTTCCTGCCATGGAGTTGTCCACCATCTCACCTCTTGGGGACACGTTCCCTCCCTCCCTTCTTTCCCCCTAGAAAAGCAGAGTCAGGGATCAAATCAGATGTGGCGTTTCATCCCAACCACAGTGTTGCTCATCAGATAAAGGATTCACAGATTCATAAGATCCCAGCACTCAGGCCCTGCCCTCCACGGCAACCAATACCTGCCCAGTTGCTTGGTGGAGGTTTGCAGCCTAGGCGCTCTGTGGAAGAAATTGATGTTTAATAACAAAATAGAACACCAACAGATTAAGAGTATCTCAGCAGAGAGGTTTACCAAATGAGGGTCCAGAGGGGCCAACTCTCCTCTGGCCAAGGGTTGGTCAGTGGAGAAAAGCAGAAAGCTCCTACAGATGGTGGGGCAGCCTGCGGGGAACATGGGGTGTGCTCAGACAGTAGCACTGCACTCTTGTGGGGAGGGTGGAGCTCGGGGCAGCTCTGCCTGTGTGGCAAGGCATTTGAGCTTATGACAATAGGGAGCCCTCCTGGGTTTTTAAGCAACAAAAGGCTCGTATAAAGTTGCCCGTTTCCTGGAGGTAAGGAGTGGGGTTGGCAGCTGTGCTGGGATGCAGAGTGTGGAGCCTCAGCAGCTTCCTCTGTCACCAGGGCATCATCCTTAATAGTGTAGGTTCTGAACAGTGAGACTCAGAGGCAATTTGAATTAAAACCCAATTTGGGGTTTGTCTTAGTTCTTATAGACTCCACTCCTTATTGCTGTCTTATTTACAAAAGACCATGCGGGGAGAAGGAGAAACAGGGTTCCAGCTCTGAGTAAGGAACTCATTCCCTGAGGCACTGAGAACAGAAGAAGGGTGGTGGATTTGTACGAGGCCTTCCTTTGGTCAACATTCAAGGGTCATCTCCCTTAAGAGCAAAATGTTCCCCTAGAGTCTGGAGACGTAGGTGTTTGGGTCGAAGTTCTAAGATGTGTGCTTCTTCTCTGTGCCCAGATGTCTGTCCTGTGTGGAGAGCCCATACCGCTGTCACTGGTGTAAATACCGGCATGTTTGCACCCATGACCCCAACACCTGCTCCTTCCAGGAAGGCCGAGTGAAACTGCCCGAGGTAGGTGCCGGCAGCAGGATGAGGAGAGGCACTGCTGGTAAGCACAGAACATATGTGCAGCCCTTCTCGTGAGAGGACCCAAGAGAAGATCCTGGGGATCTCTTCCTTCCTCCTTAACCTCGGCTCTCCAGGCACTCTGTGTGAAAGCAATGGACGAGCTTGGCCTTGCACTGACACCATGGTTCTGGCTCGGCTGGGAGGTTCAGGTACAAATGCGTGAGGCTGAGTCTCCTGGGTGTGAGTTCTTTCCTTCCTCTAACATAAATGGAATGACACGAACTTGAAGGAAATAGCAGGGACAGGAGTCAGGCAGCCAGTGGGCCACCATGGCATGAAACCTGGAGGAGACTGACAGTCTGGTCTATGGGTCAGTCTTGACTTTGAGGATAGAAGCAGAAGGGTAGAGTGACTCCCTTGAGGTCAGAGGTCAAGGCTCCAGGAAACACCTATCTAAAATCTGTCAGGAGCATGATAGAAGTCAGACAAAGTGGCTCTCAGGTTCTCTCCACTCTCCAAATAAGTAAACCTGACCAAGGTTTGGGAGCAGAAAGGCCCAAGACTGATTGGAGAGCAAAAGCAATGGATTTTGTGGGTTGCAAACGCCTCCCACCACCCCCTTACCTTGGAGGAAGCTTGCAATTTTTTCTCTTTCTTTCTTGTTTTCTTTCCCTTTCCTCTTGTGGCAAAGTAGTCTTTGATGTTTAGAAAGAAAGGTTAAAAGAACCAAAAAAAAGCAAAGAACTACCAAGTTTCCCAGAACAATGGCAGAGTTTCTGTGAGTGATGGTACCTTGTTTATGCCTGGCTTTGTTAACATCTGCTGGGGATCTATGGCCACTCAAAGGGTTGGATACCAGGGCTTCCGAGAAAGGAGAAGGCTTTGAAGAATATGGCTAATTACCAGGGCATGGAGACAGATCCAGATGTTGCCATTACCCTTCAATTCTTTCCGTTTTCCATTAGCTGGACATGGTAACCATGAGACTCCAGCATAACTCAGAATCTTCCATTTCTCCCTGTCACGGTATGGTATGGAAAGAACTTTGGCTCTTCTTTGTCTTAGATTTTGACCTAATTTAAGAGAAAAAAGTTCTAAGAGTTTGCTTCTCAGGGCCATTTTGTAGGGAGCCTAGAGGAAGAGGCTAAGTTGATTATCTTATCTGGTTGCTGTGGTAACATCTTCCCAGAGGATGTACCTAACGGAAACTAAGTAAATAAACATTATGAACCATTGACTAAGACTAGCTATTTGGGTTCAGTGAGAAAAGGCCATTGTTTTCAGAACCTGAAACAGAATCCCTGCCTCCTAGTGTAAATGTAGCATTTTTTAATGCCATTGGCTTTTGTTTGTTTCCTGACATAAACTATAGCAGGAATAAAGGATACAAAACGAGGGTTTTGTTGAGCAGTGTTTTTTCTGATGCCAGTGAAGTTATTCAAGGACTAATCATCTAAACTTTTGCTACGGTGTTGATCAGATTTCTGATACTAATGCAAATACCTGACATAAATCAAACTTAAAAAGAAGAAAGGTTAAAAAAAAAGGGTTAGAACAGAAAGAGTTCAAAAGCCAAAGGATTGGGGAGTCTGCTGTGAGACTGTCTCCTAGGAATATCAGGAACTACACCCATAATGTCTCACCAACATGACTGCCTACACATGAGCAGAACAAGGACAAGAGACATAGAAAAGTGGATGGGGGTAAACCTACTAGAAAATCCTCAACCCCACACAAAGAACTACAGGCAACTAAGAAAGGCGGAGAGTGAGAGAAATAGTTATCCCTTGGGAAGAGCACAATTGGTAATCCAATACCAAAAAGTCAGCCCTGAAAACGTGTATATGAGCTGCATATTCAGACTGAGCAGGTTCTATTTAGGAAAATATAGATGCATCTAACAACAATTAGTGGAGAGAAAGCCATAAATTTGAAAGAGAGCAAGTAAGGGGTCTATTTGAGGACTCAGAGGGAGTGTTCTCATAGGGCAAGGGTGCAATGAATGTTCTTATGGAGTGTTCTGGTCGGGGGCACGTCCAGTCAAGGCTTAGAGGTCCAAATGGTATCTGACTGGGTAAGTCATAGTCCTAGAGCCTGAAGTTCCTCCAGACACCTGCACCAAGACCCCCCAGAATGCTGGAGAGACTCGGGCCACAGCGATTCTTCTGGAAGTCCTCAGGTTCAGAATCGCCTTTACCCTGTGAAGCTATGCAGATCAGGTCCTTTTGTTTAGCCATGAGTGAGGCTGCCAGGTGGCTTTTCGTCTGCTCTGCCCTGCATCATCTTGTATCCCAGGAATGCTTTCATCTTGCCCTTCCAGTTTCGATGCTGGCTTCACTGGCTATCACCAGGGGTGTTGAATTACTTCTTTCCCCCTGAACAAAGAGCACGTTCAGGCGAAGTTATTGGTCTGGAATGGAGAACTGGTGGACCATTGTAGTTGTGTTATGAACAGCAAGTATTCAGGCATAATTACAATGATTAGGAATAGAATGGCCAGTCACATATGTCGTTTATAGTAACTATATCCCAGTTACAAGGGATGGTTTTGTTTCTGCTAATGATGGCATTGTGATGACAACGTAGACCTTTAGATGGGCTGCTAGAGCCTGGGCAGCAAATGGGAAGGGAGAGGAGAGGAGAGATGAGGTGACAGCATGCTAGGGTGACAGCGTGCCCCTGCTTGCTCTCATTCCTCCCCTCCCAGTATCCACAAGGCTTCCTGCCATCTCCTGGAACGGCCTTTGCCTGGATAGACATTAACAGAGCTGCAGGAGCCTCTGTCCTTGTGTGCACTGGACAGAGTTGCTGGCTCCTGCACAGCCTCACCTGAACAGATCAACCTGGAGAGCACAACTGGTAACGATGCTTAAGATGAACCTGCTATAGCAAACAAATCCCCAGGCAGGAGGTGGTCCTTGGTGAGCTGATGCACTGTTTGTCCTCATCTGAGCTGAAAAATCAAAGTGAACCACCACTGAATCCGTGTTCTCCAGGGACCAGGCTAGGAAAGTCACGGGTGTGTTGGTGCTTCCCAGGTGAGCAATCTCAGAGAGGATGTCCCAGGTACTAGTCTTCCTCTTGAAGTTCAACCAGTGTGCTTACTCCAGAGAACAGTTCTAAGATCAGAGGAGAAATGCATTCAGTTTGATCTGCAATGGTGTCCTTGAAAGGTTTCCCAGCATCCACTGCCACCGGTATGGGCGTCTTACGCTAGGACCAGTATGATGAGCTCTGGAATCCTAAAGGTCAAGTTCACTTTAAAACTACAGAACCAGGAAGGAAGACTGCTGCTTGTCTCTGGTGCTAAACGAAATCCACCCTTAGATAAAGGTCAGCAGCATTTACCCCAAGCTTGACTTTGGAGAGAAATTAGTCTGCCCCCCATGGCCAGTGATTCTGCTTTATTTCCATCTGACAGCCATTCCTGGGATCTACTTCCGCCATGCCTTTAACCCTCCTTTGAGAAAACAAAGCCAAACCCAGCTCAAAAACTTGTTCCTCACCCATGCACACATCCCCCCGTCAGGTATTCAATTACTGGGATGCCATTTCTCCAGACAACTGCACTTTCCATCAATCTCACTTGTCCCTCCCCCTTGAGGTTATGGGTATTTCCTTTCTGTATTATTACTTCGCTCTCCCCATAAACCAGCCCATCGTAGATCATGCTAATGGCATTATAAACTTGGGGAACAGCAAGAAAATATATGGTGCATTACATCTTTGTATTGAGCATCAGGGGTCTGAGAAGGCGAGTATAAATTTGGGGAGTTGTTAGGGCTACTAGGGCCGGCTCCTGTTTAGAATTGATTGGGGTAGAGAGACTGAAGTGGTATTGGGGGAGAAGTGACCTGCAAATCATGTTTCCCTTAGCCACTTTAGATCTGCTGTCCCCAAGAGCTTTACATTCTCCCAATTTCACTATAACAACTGCTCGAAACCGAGCTTTCATCTTGCAAATACACCAGGGGCTGTAAATCTACAAGTCTGTCCCCCTAGCCCTAGGCAGCCCCAGGCAGCCCCAGCCCTGACGGCAGTGTTCTTTCTCCCAGCCGAGGAGCATTCTTTATGTCCTTGTTCAATTATTTAAATATGCTACGAAACCTCTGCCCAAAGGAGTCACCGGCAAGCTGGACCAAGGGGATGGAAAGGCAGCTCTACCGCTTTCTACACTGGCTTTGCTCCCTGCACTCAGCACCCCTACCCTCATTTGTGTGCACTGAAGTGGAGACCACAATATACAAAGGGCCCGTCTGTGGACCCGGAATCATCTGGACCCACCTCCAGAATGTCAAGCTATTAAATATTTGCTTGTGCCTCAAGCCACTGTCCCGCCATATCTTTGGTCTATTCTTACAACTGCAAAATGCAGCCACAGGGTGAAACAGCCTCCAAGGGAGACTGCTTCTTATTGCTTGCATTCACGTCTCCGCATAATCTTGTCAAATTCAGGTGTTTTCCATTCTGCAGGAGTTGGCCCCTTTCAAATGATGGTTCAAAGAAACGCCTGCTTTGAAAGGAGAAGGGCAGTGTGTTTTGGAGGGAATCGGTGTGGGGTTAGATAATCATCTGTGGCTGGAAATAAGATGAGCAGAAGAAAATATTGACTCACCATTTCTGAGTGCTGGGGTTACCACTTATTTGAGTTGTCTTCATTGAAATATCAGGATGATGACATGAGTTGTGTTACAAAACAAGAGCGCCCATGGGGAGGGATGTGTGTAGGGGTAAGGAATGAATTCCAACTGTACCGAGTTAACCACATCAGCTAGAATTGCAAGAGTAGTGCAGGATGCCAACCAGATCCAGTAGCCAGGACTAGGAGTGACCAGGCTGAAAATACCAATGACTAAAATAATAAAATACTTCCCTGCTGATAAATAACCATATTTCCTTGTAAAGTTTCCTGTCACCCTTGCTGTTTTATCATTCATTCCGTTGATTGGCATTTGAAATACCACATTTAAACTAGTTGAGCAGATACTATTTTTGTTATTGAT